TTCTTTCTGTTAATATGGTGTATTACATTTGTGGTCTTGCATATGTTGAACCACCCTTGCATCTCTGGGATAAAGCCTACCTGGTCATGATGAATAATCTTTGTTATATGTTGTTGTATACGATTTGTGAGTATCTTGTTGAGAATTTTTGCATCTATAATATTGGTCTGTAGTTTTCCTTTTTTGCCATGTCATTATCTGTTTTGGGAATGAGGATGATGGAGGCTTCATAAAATAAATTTGGAAAGTTTCCTTCCTTTTGAATCTTTAAAAATAATTTGAGTAGAATAGGGATTAATTCTTCCTTAAAGGTTTTTAGAATTCAGAAGTGAAGCCATCTGAACCTGGGCTTTTCTTTGTCGGGAGGTTATTTATCACTGATTCAATTTCCTGGCTCGTTATCGGTCATTCAGGGTTTCTATGTCCTCCTGATTCAATCTTGGTAGATTATATGCATCCAGGAGTTTGTTCATCTCCTCCAAGTTCTCTTGTTTGTTGGCATATAGTCACTTATAGTATCCTCTAAGGATATTTTGTATTTCTGTTATGTCTGTTGTAATGTTGCCTGTTTCATCACATATTTGATTTATCTGGTTTCTTTTTTCTTCTCCATCAGTCTAGCCAATGGTGTGTCTATCTTGTTAATCTTTCAAAGAACCAGCTTTTGCTTTCATTTATTTTCTGTATTGTTCATATATTTTCTATTTCATTTATTTCTGCTCAAACCTTTATTATTTCTTTTCACCTGGGATTTTGTTGTTGTTGTTGTTTTTCCAATTCCCTGAGGCATGATGTTAGGTTATCTATTTGCCATCTTTCTGTCTTTTTCTTATGTGCACTAATTGCTATAAATTTCCCTCTTATGACTGCTTTTGCAGTGTCCCATAGATTATGGACACTTGAATACTCATTATCATTTGTTTCCATAAATTTTTTTATTTCAGCCTTAATTTCTTCAGTAGTGAAGAAGTCATTGAGAAGTAGGTTGTTCAGTTTCCATGTGTTTGTGTATTTTCGGGGTTGTTTCTTGAAATTAATCTAGAGTTTAATGCCATCATGGTCAGAGAGGATGCTGGATATAGTTTCTATGCCTTTGAATGTGTAAAGGCTTGATTTGGGTCCTAAGGTATGATCAATCTTTGAAAAGGTTCCATGCCAGGGTTAGAAAAATGTATATTTTGTGGTCTTAGGGTGGAAAGTTCTATAGATATCTATCAAGCCCATTCAATTTATAATATCATTTAGGTCCTGTATCTCTTTATTTATTTTTTGCCTAGAAGATCTGTCTAAAGGAGATAATGGGGTGTTGAGATCCCCAACAATTGTATTGTTTCTCCCTATCTCTCCTTTTAGCTTCAATAGTCTTTCCTTCACATATTTAGGAGCTCCTGAGTTGGGTGCATAGATATTTATAAGCATTATGTCTTCTTGCTGGATTATCTCATTTACAATGATGTAATGCTCTTCTTCGTCTCTTCTTACAGTCTTTAACTTGAAGCCTATTTTGTCTGAAATCAATATCTCAACTCCAGTTCTTTTTGATTTCCATTTGCATGGAATATCTTTTTCCAGCCCTTCACTTTTAGTCTTTGTATGCCTTTATCCATAAGGTGAGTTTCTTGTAGGCAAGAGATAGAGGATTTCTGTTTTCTTATCCATTCAGCCAGTCTGTGTCTCTTAACTGGAGAATTTAATCCATTGACATTCAGTGTTAGTATTGATATTTCCAGACCTGTTTTTATCATTAAGTGAACCATTTTCTTGGTTGCTCTTTGCTGTCTTATAACTGTCCATCTGATTTTTTTGTTTTCCTGGTATAGCACTCCCTTCAGAATCTCCTGAAGAGCTGGTCTAGAGTTGATAAATTCCTTCAGATTTTGTTTATTTGAGAATGTTTTTATCTTTTTTCCCATATGAAAGACAATATTGCTGGGTATAGTATTCTTGGTTGGAATTGTTTTTTGTTTTTTGGTTTTTTTTTTTGGAGAGATTTTCGCTATAGGGCGCATGCACTCGCCAGACAGACAGAGACATTAGAGACAGAAAGCGAGAAATCACCCCCCAGGGGGGATGGTCACGCCGCAATCCCTTCTCCTTCATTCTCCTCTTGGGATCTTGGGCACGCATGCACACGCACCCGGCGTGAGTTTTAAGCCACCGGGTCCGGGACGCGAACCGCGGTCGACTACGTGGGAGTCTAGCGACATAGCCATTACGCTAACTGCTGGTTCCCATGTTGGAACTGTTTTTCATTCAACACTTTGACTATATTTCCACATTCTTTCCTTGCCTGCATTGTTTTTGCCGAGAGGTTCAATGTTAGCCTGATGGGATGACCTTTGTAAGTAACTTGACACTTCCCTCTTGCCAACTTTAGTATATTGTCTTTGTGTCTGTTGTTTTTGCCAGTCTGGCTTTGATGTGCCTTGGAGAGGATCTTCTTGGGTTGATTCTACTTGGAGTCTTGTGTATTTCTTGAGTCTGGATATTTGAATGCCTTTCTAGGTTTGGAAAGTTTTCTTCCAGTATTTCATGGAATAAATTATCAATACATTTATTATTTTCTTCTTCTTCTGGGATACCAAATATCTGGATGTTGGGGCACTTGATGGTATCCAGTATTCCTTGTATATTATCCTCATTTTTCTGGGTTGTTTTCTCAATCTTCTTGATACTTCTTTCTAGGTCAGATGTTTTGTCTTCTACATTTGAGATTAGATCTTCTGCCTGACCTAATCTATTTTTTTTTTTGATAGGTTTTTGCTATAGGATAGGGCACATGCGCTCACCAGAAAGAGAGGCAGAAAGCAAGAAATAACCCCCCAGCTAGGATGGCCACACTGCAATCCCTTCTCCTCAATCCTCCTCTTGGGATCTTGGGCACGCACACACATGCGCCCAGTTTAAGTTTAAGCCACCAGGTCCGGGACTCAAACCATGGTTGACTACATGGGTGTCCAGCAACATAGTCATTACACCAACTGCTGGTCCCTAATTTTAATACTTTCAAAGGAGGTTTTGATTTCCTTTATCACATTTTTCAACCCTAGAAGTTCCATTTGGTTCTTTTTTAAGGTTTCTATTTCTTCTTTCGAATCATGAAAGGACTTCCTCATATCCTAGAGCTCATTATCTCTTTTTTTTCCATCTCAGCTAGTTTGGTCACTACAAATATTCTGAATTGTTTATCTGACATATCCATAACGTTCATTGTATTGACTGTAGTTGATGTGGGTTTGACTATTTCCCTCGGGGGAGAGGCATTCTGTTGGTTGCCCATATTTCTTGAGCCTCTGCGATTGTTTCTAGTCATCTAGTGATCTATATGGTTCTTCTTAGCTTATTCAAGGTATCTCTGAGTGTTAAAATGTGTGCAGGATTAGAAAATTGGCAATCTCTCTTCTGGTATGCCTACCTGTTGCTCTCCAGTACCATGCACTGTTGTCATTGGTCCTGGGTGACCTAAAGTCCTACTTGTTTCTAAGGAGTGGTGAGCCTCCAATTGACCTAATAAGCTTAACCTCAGGAGCAAATAAATAGCCACGCTATTCAATACGCTGAAATTCTGAGAGTCCAAAGTCAAGTTGGGAATGAGCAGAGGATGAGCGAAGGGTCCTGGACTTTAGGGCCTGCAGCCACAGGGGTGGGGTGGGGTGCAAGTTCGTCTTAAAGTCCAAGAAACAAACAAGGAAGTTCTTTAATAACCAAATTTCTTTTTATCTCTTTCTCTCTTCTATTTATTTATATAATTATTTGCCTTCTGAAGTGTCTGCTTCATCCTAACACTAGTTCTTTTTGTGATGGCAAGATGGCTGCTAACAGCTTTCAGGACCTCCTGATCCTAACCAGAAGAACCACTAAGCAGGGTCCTGGCTTCCCTCTGATTGTACTGTCTTGGTCACATGCCTTTCCTGGATGGGTAACACAAGACACTGATTGGTTTAGGTCTGGGTTAGGTGCTGGGTTCTAAAATAAATACTGTGTCAAGAGCAGGATGTGATTGTAGATTAATCTAGCCAAGTCAGGACCTGGGCTGGAACTGTGGTTGGAGCAAATGCCATTAAACTTCCTGGGTGTCCCCAGTGGTGTGAGGAGAGGTTTACTTTTTTTCATCACAGAAAAAAGATGGGAAGGATGTAGACTCAACTGCCAACAGTGCTCATCTTCAAGTAGTGGCATTAAGCCTAATTTCTTTTTAAGGCGTATCTCTTTAACATTTTTGACAACAAACATCTATTTCAATACCTTCAAAGAGAAATGAAGGCTATAAAAATGAAGGAAAGCTGGTATATAACATTTGTGATGGAGTTTGCAACTAGAAGGGTTTAAAGCAGACGTGTTAGCAAACAGGAACTATGGATTTTCAGAATGATACCAAGTGGGTTTTTTTTTATTTTTTTTTATAGGTTTTTGCTATAGGGCACATGTGCTCACCATAATGACAGAGAAACAGAGAGGTGGAAAGCAAGAAATCAACAAATCAACCCCCAGGGGGGATGGCCACGCCACAATCCCTTCTCCTCTCTTCTCCTCTCGGGATCTTGGGCATGCATGTACACGTGCCTGGTGTGAGTTTAAGCCACCAGGTCCAGGACTTGAACTGCAGTCGACTACATAGGAGTTCAGCAACATAGCCATTACGCTAACTGCTGGCCCCCCAAGTATGTTTTAAAGAAGCTTCTAATTGTCTTCCTCTGGCCTCTGTTATGAAATCACGTGAGGGTTTTGATGGCTAGTCTGGCTGAAAGCTATGGACTTCAGTAGCTTAAATTTTCCCCTTCTGTTAGGATGGGGAAGACTTTAGCTTTCTCTAGAGATACTTATCCTTGTCACCTTTAAGCATCATGAGGTGGGACCAGTGGCAGAAGGAGCCCAGCAGTGCATTCCTGTTTGCAGAGGAAACTGTGCAGACGGGGAGTTGCTGCCCCCCACCCCCACTGTCATCCTTTCACTTCCTCTTGGACAGAAGACACTGAGCATTCTTTCAGGAAGTAGCCACCACGAAGTGTCCCCAGCTAGGTCTTCTCAGACTTCCTGAAATTCTCCACAGTGTGAGTTACTGCATGACACTGATAGAAAGGATCCTCAGTCTGAAGGCTCAGGGTCCCAGGGAAAGGCAAAGTGGGGCATGCCCCTTGGTTCACTGCTGCTAGAAGCCTTGGAAGTTCCTCCAAGATTCACAGCGAGAGGCCTGCTGGTCTTCCCCGTACTGGAAAAGAGGACTCGTTCTCACACTGGCAGAAAAGACCCCCACTGGTGAAGCAAGGTAAGGCTGGCATCCTGATTCTCAGTTTGGTTTCTTTTTTACCTTTTTCTTGACGTTTACTTATTTCTTCAAAGAGGAGGGTCACCCCTAACAGGGTATTCACGCCATGATCTTTTCCCAGTCTCAGCTGGCCAGGATCACAAGCACAGGAGCCCGGCAGGCACAGGGAGACCACCTGTCATGAACCTGGGACCTTCTCATGTGGCTTTGTGTTGGCGTCCGCCCCAGGGCTTGGGTCTAGCTGAATCATGACCAGAGGGCTGCTGGTGAGGAAAAGAAAGAGGACAAGGAAGAGAAAGCCCTCCATCTTCCGAGGACTGGGGACTTGGAAAGAATGAGACAGAGAGATAGAGTAGAAATGGACGCAGGCAGCCTGAGCCTAGGTAGCCCAAACAACTCGTGCCGTGGCTGAGCCACCCAGACAAACTGGGCCTCTTTGTTTATGGTACAAGAAGACATTACACATGTATGTTTCATGACACTTCATAGATTCGTTGCCAGGTTACAGACAATAAGAAGCAGGTAACAAATCTATAAGAGCTTAGTCATACTGGGCCAGGTGCTGGTGATAATCCTATCAAGAGAAAGTCCCATAATCTTCTTTTCTAATGCAGAGAAACCTAGCTGTAGGTGTGGGGAAGAAGCTAAAGAACTTCTCCATAAGGAGTGCACCACCACACCCAGAGAAGACTAAAGAACCTTTCAGATGCAGGGCAGGGGTTGGACTTTGCTAATGGGGCCAAGATGTCTCTTGAAGCCCATCAGATGTGTCTGTTGGAACGCCCCTAGCAATTTCCACCCTTGCTCTGTCTGCAGCGAAGGTCAAGGAAAGACAAGTTACAAGGTTCTGCCAAACGCCAACAGGACAGGTGGTGTTTGCTCAGAGCATGTTCCCACACCCAGGTTCTCTCTCTAAACGTGTCCCCACAGCCTCAGCATTGTAAAGCATTGTTGCCACGGCACCACCGTGGCTGGCCCTCACTGTGATTTCTGCTTGAGGTTGACCGTCAGCTCTGCATTTTCACAAACCTGATATTCTGTGACCAAGCCCTTCGGGAGTTATTCTGCTGTGACGGTGAACAGTGAACTGGCATGCTGGCACCATGGTGAGAGCTGTGCTTACTGACAGGATGGGAATGTCCCAGGCTGAGTGGCTAAGGCACTCTGGTCTCAGACGGAAAATAAGGTGAGGGAGGAAATGAGGCCAGAGGTATTCACTGGATGGTCTTAAGGAACAATCCTGGTTCTCCTGGTAATATCATCTGCCATGGACCCCTGAACGTAAACTTCACTAGTTCCGGGATCTTGCCTTAGGTAGTGTTTATCCAGTGTCTAGAATAGTCACACACATGACCAATACATGAGTGGAAAGCTGGCCAGCTGGGTGAATGAACTCTTTTCATTTTTTCAAGTGTCAGTGTCCCCTGGGAAGTCTTCTCTGATCCTCTTAGAAAGATGGGATTTCAGGACCAGTAGTTGGCATAATGGCTATGTCGCTGGACTCCCATGTAGTTGACCGCTGTTTGAGTCCCGGACCTGGTGGCTTAAACTCACACAAGGCGCGTGTGCGTGCGTGCCCAAGATCCTGAGCGGAAAATGTAGCAGAAGGGATTGTGGTGTGGCCATCCCCCCCAGGGGGTGATTTCTCACTTTCTGTCTCTCTGTTTCTCTCTGCCTTTCTGGCGAGCACACGAGCCCTATAGCAAAAACCTCTTCAAGAGAAAAAAAGAAAAAAGAAAGAAGGGATTTCCTCCTCTGGGTTATTGTAGTACTTTAAGTTAAAGCACTTACCTCATTCTGTTGTAACTATTTGTTTATGTATCTGTTAGCCATGAAAGACTGTGTGGGCCCCTCAAATGTAGGATTTTGTCTCATTTTTCCACTTAACTACTGCCACCTTGCCCAGTGCTTGGCAGGTGGTGTTACAGATGCTCATTGGAGAAGGTAATATGGCTGTGGCCGCCTCTACATCTCTCTCAGCACGTAGAAATGCTTGTGACGTGGCCAGGCTTGGCATCAGCCAGGCCCCCTTGCTTCTTCAGTGCTGGGGATGCAGCAGCAAGTTCTTCCTCTTTGCTTTTCACGGTTTCAAAGAAACAATCACTTTCTGTTTTCAGCATCATTCTGATACCCTCTATATTCATGGACCCACGAAATGCGCCAGATGATTTCAGTGAATTACATTTCTGGGATCAGATTAGTCCTCTTACGATGTTATCTAAAGAGGAAATTGAGTCATCTGCAAGTCTTATGGTAGGGCGTAGTCTTTCCAGGAAGGCCTCCTAGAGATGGCACATCCCTCTCGGGAGTCTGACAACTTTGGTCACGCAAACCCCTTTCACTTTAAAAAAACATTGCTATAGGGAGGGCCAGCAGGTGGCATAATGGTTAAAGTGCTGGACTCCCACATGACTGACTACGTTCAAGTCCTGGAGAAATGCTTGTGACGTGGCCAGGCTTGGCATCAGCCAGGCCCCCTTGCTTCTTCAGTGCTGGGGATGCAGCAGCAAGTTCTTCCTCTTTGCTTTTCACGGTTTCAAAGAAACAATCACTTTCTGTTTTCAGCATCATTCTGATACCCTCTATATTCATGGACCCACGAAATGCGCCAGATGATTTCAGTGAATTACATTTCTGGGATCAGATTAGTCCTCTTACGATGTTATCTAAAGAGGAAATTGAGTCATCTGCAAGTCTTATGGTAGGGCGTAGTCTTTCCAGGAAGGCCTCCTAGAGATGGCACATCCCTCTCGGGAGTCTGACAACTTTGGTCACGCAAACCCCTTTCACTTTAAAAAAACATTGCTATAGGGAGGGCCAGCAGGTGGCATAATGGTTAAAGTGCTGGACTCCCACATGACTGACTACGTTCAAGTCCTGGACCTGGTGGCTTGAAACATGCTGGGTGCATGCCCAAAATCCCAGGAGTGGAAATCACCCTCTAGGAGGGTGATTTCTTTCCCTCTCATTGTCTCTGGTGAATGCATGGCCCTATGGCAAAAATATTTTTTAAAAAATTTGCTACAGGGTTCATATGTTTGCTGGAGAAAGAGAGAGAGAGAGAGACAGAGAGAGAGAGAGAGAGAGAGAGAGAGAGAGAAAAGAGGAGAGGAGAGGAGAGAGAAAGCTCCCTTGAGTGGGATGGCCATGCTGCAATCTCTTCTTCATTCTCCTCGTGATTTTTGGACACGCATACACATGTGCCTGGTGTGTCTTTCAAGTCACTGGATCTGGAATTTGAACCACACAGTCACCTATGTGGGATCCAGTCACCTTAACCACCATGCCACCAGCGGGTCCCTGTCTTTTCCCATCTCTTTTAGTGGCTGTGGGCCTCTGTCCACAGGCTGCACTCCCTCCAATAAGTAAGCCTGCCTTCTGACCAGGTCGTGCTTCCCAGGGTCCAGGTGGAGATTTGCATGACACTGCCCTAAGTACTCTGACGGACCGCCTGTCCTGGGTTTTCCTGAAATAATTTTCAGTATTTTGAGACCAGTGATCTAGAAGTCAAGACACAAACTAAGTGGCAAACACATCTTGTAGATTAGGGCAGGCTGGAAGTCTGATGAAAAGATAATTCTGAAGTTAAGTTATGTAACGTTGGCAATGACCAGAGAATGGTTTGTGGGCTTCGTTCTTTGCCAGAATTCGCTACAGCCAAGGTTTCTATATTCTTTGTTAATTTATGTGGGCCCAGCCCATGGATGGGGATGGCTTAAACAGCCAAAAAGGTAGAGAAAAGGAAGTAGGAACTTCATAGTTCTACTGGAATGTTCTGTCAATGCTGCAGGAACTCTCACTGCACCAGATTGACCCAGCCCTGCATTCGTGAGTAGTCTTGTGGGATTTATGCATTCCAGTCACCATACCCTTATCTGAAGTCCACCCTCTCCTCTCATGGGTCTTGTGTGCTGTTCCTGCCTTGTCCCGGGTCCACCCAGTTGTGTCGCACACTGAGAATCCCTGCAGTGACTGGTGGTTTGTTCTGTGATTGGGTTGCCACTGGATACCTGAATCCTGATGGCTTTGAAAGCCTCGTAAGTCATTTGGGTCAAGCTCCAATACTGGCCGTGAGCTAGATCTAGTTAACTGTCTCCTTCAAACACCTGGGTTTCCTCAAAGTAGGTTCATTCTTGGTTGTTTCCCTTCTGGAGGCATCATTCCAAAGCTACTTTTCCCGGATTTGCTGTCATGTCCTACCCCCCAGAACCAGTCTCTCTCCCTCTCTCTCTCTTTTGTTTTAGAGAGATTTTTGCTATAGGGTGTGTGCACTAGCCAAAGTCTCAGAGAGAGAGAGAGAAAGTGAGAAATCACCGCCGCTCCTCCAGGGGTGGGACGGACACACCATAATCCCTTCTCCTCTTGCCTCCTCTTGGATTTTGGGCATGCACACACATGTGCCCGGTGTGAGTATGAAGCCACTGCGTCTGGGACTCAAACCACCATCAACTGGGAGTCCAGTGATGTAACCATTATGCCATCTGCTGGTCTCCAGTGGTGGGTTTTTAAAGGCCTCTTGATTGCTTCTGTCCTCCTCAAAGAGCCTTATTTAACTTTTTGGTGCCCTTGCTTTTTCCAGGAGGCTTCTCTTGCTACCCCACGTCTATCCTGACCATGATTCATCCCAATATTTCCTGGGCTGGCTATTCAGGCAAGAGAACAAAAAGACATTCCCTAGATCCTCTTCTCAGTAAAAGGAGAACATAACTTGCCTTTCTTTAACCAAGGTTTGTGCTTTTCATACATTTTCTCTAGCTCAAAAAATATAAAACTGATCTGTTTTTGCCATCTCTCTCATAAACTGTACCAGCGTGCAGTCATGCTCCCACCGCCAAATCAATGGAGTATCTGTTTCGAGGATGATTCCTATCTCATTTATCTTCACAGGCCCGGCCTTTAGCATGGTGTCTGGCACATCACTGGTGTGAAATATGTGTTTGTTGCAATGAATGAATGATCAACGTAGTGAGTGAATGTATAAACAGGGAAATTGGAACATG